GGTTAATCCCACAATTCGTTGGTAAAGAAGAGTTGATGATGGGTAGTGTTAACTAGCTACTAACGTGGGGACGTTATAATGTGACGGTTAATCCCACAATTCGTTGGTAAAGAAGAGTTGATGATGGGTAGTGTTAACTAGCTACTAACGTGGGGACGTTATAATGTGACGGTTAATCCCACAATTCGTTGGTAAAGAAGAGTTGATGATGGGTAGTGTTAACTAGCTACTAACGTGGGGACGTTATAATGTGACGGTCAATCCCACAATTCGTTGGTAAAGAAGAGTTGATGATGGGTAGTGTTAACTAGCTACTTTCCCTCCAGTCTATCACTTCAAATTTATGGACGACTAGCACAAATAGCTCTCGTGCAACTTTGCGGGAAATTCAAAACAAACCACTTCTTCCGAAGATGTTTCCTTTTGTTACCAAAAAATAAACGTTACTGGTTCTGCTATAATAACAAACAATATGACTTAAAACCCACTACTTACAAACTTATGAGTGAATCATTGTAAAAAAAAATTTCATATGCTTAATTAACATTCACTCAAATTAGGGTGCTCCAAGTGATGACCCACGACTAAGTTTATCCACCCACGCATTCATTATTAGTCACATATTAAGTTTCAAACTCCTAAAAATACATTATAATAAGAAAGTTTCGTTCTGGTTAGTGATACGATGAACAAACTATAGCGCTCCAACGTTTCCATCTTCGACGGTGTGGCTCTCCATAGAAACACAAGTTGGCCCATTCTACCTTAAAATTTTTGTTATACAGCAAAAACAAAACAAAAACATTCTTAATGCAAGATATTCGAGCTGCAGAGCATATATCATTCAAATACGTATACTACCTTGGTAACAATACTTACACTACCTTAGTAACAATACTTACACTACCTTGGTAACAATACGTATACTACCTTGGTAACAATACTTACACTACCTTGGTAACAATACTTACACTAACTTGGTAACAATACTTACAGTACCTTAGTAACAATACCTATACTACCTTGGTAACAATACTTATACTACCTTGGTAACAATACTTACACTACCTTGGTAACAATACTTACACTAACTTGGTAACAATACTTACAGTACCTTAGTAACAATACCTATACTACCTTGGTAACAATACTTATACTACCTTGGTAACAATACTTACACTACCTTAGTAACAATACCTATACTACCTTGGTAACAATACCTATACTACCTTGGTAACAATACCTATACTACCTTGGTAACAATACTTATACTACCTTGGTAACAATACTTACACTACCTTGGTAACAATACTTACACTACCTTAGTAACAATACTTACACTACCTTGGTAACAATACTTATACTACCTTGGTAACAATACTTACACTAGCTTAGTAACAATACCTATACTACCTTAGTAACAATACCTATACTACCTTGGTAACAATACTTATACTACCTTGGTAACAGTGCTTACACTACCTTGGTAACAATACTTATACTACCTTGGTAACAGTGCTTACACTACCTTGGTAACAATACTTACACTACCTTAGTAACAATACTTACATTACCTTGGTAACAATACTTATACTACCTTGGTAACAATA